ATGCGTGCTGGCGTCGACGTTGTCCGACATGGAGACTCCGGTCGAGAAATGCGAAGAAGATGAGGAAGGCTACGATGGGTGTCTGCGATATCTGACTTGTGCTCATAATGCTACCGGAACGATCAATAACGGAACGGTAAGCGTTTGAAGGGTTTAGACAGTCGAGTAACCATAAGGTTAGGTTAAGACAGTCAGACTCGATTAGTGTTGGTCAGTGACTTGACTAGTAATGAGATGAAATACGGTTCCACCGAGCATAAGGTGTTCATGCTCCTGTTCCTGTTCCCTTAGTTCTTGTTACCGATTCGGTCTTGTCTTTACGACCTAGTTGTTAGTCCTGTCTGTGAAAAAACAATGCTTCCTTTTTTTCTTTCCTTTTTTCGTTTTCTTACTAAAAAGCTCCTAAAAAGTGGTTTTCTTCCTACTGATTATGATGTTCAGGTGTACGCCGCATATGACTATGAAGCACAATTTGAAGACGAGCTGTCGTTCAAAGCCGGTGATGAACTGCGCGTACTGAGTAAAGATGACAAGGAAAAGGTAGGCGCTTGCTTTTTGATTTGAATGTTTTTTGGCTTCAAAGTTTCTAGCGTATCCATCGTTGTGTTTAGAACTGGTGGACGTGTGAGCGTGTTGGACACGAAGGTGAAGTAGGGTTGGTGCCGCGAACGTACGTCGCTCTCTATCCGGCTCTTCGATTTAGAAAGCGGTAGGCTATTTATCTTAGTCCGTTTTTATTGCACTTCTTTTTGTTATTATAAATCCTTCTACTTGGTGCGCCCGTTCAATATCGTAAGGAGGATTTTTTTGTGGGATTTGGGCATGGCTTGTAGAGTCGACTGGTATAATCTTGAATCGGTCTTGGGTTGACTGAAAAATAAGAGGAGCAAAGCGAGTTTCGGCTTCCGTTGACTGAAGTATTAATTTTAATCTGAAAGCAGCCATTTGAATATTCGCGTGACAGTTGTTTTTGTTTATCATACAGTGCACTTGGTAGGATGCCGATTTGCTTGTATTTTGCCTCTTAAACTTTCTTCCTGGACGGGTAAATGCACAAGTCGCGATCGATTGACCGTGTTTTCTCCCGCTCAGTAATAAAAAAGGTGCGAAAAGTCAGTCAGAAAAAGCAGTAGTAACCACAGACCCTAGTTGAGAACTTTTTCTTACGAAACTTTACGTAGTACGGGAGAGACAGCGTGGCGAGGAGAAGAAATACGCGAAAGAAAATGTCGTACGAGAGGACGCAGACACCCAGTAAGTGTGAACAGTCGAGTGTTAAGACAGGACCTGCCGGGAGATTTTGCATTTCCAGTGACCAGTCAGCAAATGAGTTAGCATGAATAATTATTGCCATATACATGAGTTAGGACCGTCAGTAATCCTTAAAATAGACTTTGTTAAAAAACTGGTGGAAAAGTTGTGACATCACAGTGGGGCCGTTTTGGTGTCACACCTTTTTCACCAGTTTTTTTTAATCAAAGTCTAAGGGTTACTGACGGTCCTAATCATGAATATGGTACTAATTATTCATGCTAACTCCATTTTGCGCGAATTTTGGAACGTCAACTCGAAATGCAAAAATTTGTCACCACGAGGAATCGAACTAGGGACCCCTTTCTGGTATTCAGAGGGCCGTTCAGGAAAAATTAACATGGTTCTGTGGTTCCCGCATGTGCCCCTATATCATGCAAAAAACCGTTTTGAAAAGCTTGGCACACCCTGAACGACCTCCCTTGTTAGCGACCTGTTGCACACTTTCGAGCTGTGACAATATCACGGCTCCCGTGCTAGGGATCTTGCTTCTTACTCACGGAGAGAATATCTCAATGATTTAATCGCGACCTGTGCCTTTAAAACCAGATTTAACCGCATTTTTTACTTGTCCTTGAAGGACCTGAAGTGTTCACCTTCGTCTTCTTCAGTAACTCAGAGTTCCATTAGGTCTGGAACCATCTTAATAATTATGTTTGGGCTATCACTTCCTGCGGGATTTGACAAAATCGTGTTCGTAGCCTCCACGCTATTTCCTTTAAATTGAATTTCTTGATGCGACGCGAACGCTTCTTTTTCACGTATTTTCTCTTGTTTCAGAACCAATTTCATGATGTTCGAGTTACCTTTGGATCACTGGATGAACGATATGGAATAAAGCTGTTCGGATTCCCATCAAGTCCCTCGTCTTCGGGTTTTCTCCTTGCAGTCTTTCATTCTTTATTTACGTCACTCTGATGTTTTTACTGATTGCTCGCTACTAATCGGTTTCTTACTTGACCACGTCATTTTTCAAAATTCGCTCACACTATGACGTTTAACGTTTTACCTTACAGATGTTCTATTTACTTTTAGTTCTAATTAACATAATCTCGCTCGATTATGCATCCTATTCGGCTATGAGAGAAGAGAGCTGGGTTGCTCACTTGAATGCTCCACTACTCAACAACCACTGATGCTATTGAAATTTAATGCTGTTAACTTATTATATAGTAGATTAAGGTTTTACTAGGCCATATTATGTGTACATTGTACGTTTGTATGATACTGTGAAATTTGCGATGCAGGATCATATTTCTGTCTTCGTATGTGCTTTCATTCTTCTCTTTCTATCTTTCTTCTCCTCTTTCTACTTCTTCAGTTGATCCCATAGTGAGCGTATGTAGCACATCCCTGCGGCGAATGACTTCGTTTCGTTCGCCGCGGCCGCCGTGTCTGAATTGGGTTGCGTTGCTCCTGCTCGTCTGTGATTCTCCTCCGTATATTTGGCCTAAATGAATTGGCACATTGCTCAAGGCGTTAACTTTATCACATAGACGAATAAATTTGATTTAACGCTTCGATGGTTCACGCGTTTCATTAGCGTCGGCTCGGCAGCTGACACTGCCATGTGAGACAATTGCATGGCCGACGAGCCGGTCATTGCGTGGGCTCACGCTCAAAGAGATCGAGTTGATTAAAGCGGCTGCGCTCTTGAGAGGTTGAGCTAGGTAAAGGGCCAACAGTGATCTAATAGCAGTGTACTGCATAGGAGGAATTTTGTAGGAGGGGCTTTCACCCAAAAGTTGAAGAGTCATTGAAAATTACGGAACCCTAGAGGTTGACAGATCCTTCTGGAGTGAGCCATGCATTCGACCTTTCGTACCGGGTTTTACAGACACACACCTCATTTCTGCTGCTAGCGGATATTCATGCCAGTATTTTCTGCTTTCGAGACAAAGTCTGACGACAATTGAATGACTTCCTCAGAAGATTTCGTTGACTGGGAGTAGGGAATCGAATCTGCTCGGCT